AAACCCTGCTCTAAGGTAATTTAAATTTGAAAGCTTGAGAAATTTTTGGAGTAGCCATTCTAATTACAGAGAAACAATGACTGATAACCCTGAATAATCCCAGGACAGAAAGCACTATTACCTATGAAAATGGGTTTAAAATACAACTTAAACTTAAGCAATAGTGTGAAAGAATTGTCATAATTGTTATTTATTGAACATTTAAAGAACCGAGGCTTTTGTATTTTGTTGTTATTAAATCTTTATAGCAACTCTGGAGGGGAGGGAATGGAATAACTTATTGGTTCAAACAGTAAACTGGAGCTCAGAGTGACTTATCCAAGGAGACATGCTGCTTGTAAATGGCAGAGCCAGAACTGGACCACATACATATTTGATTTTATAACTTGAGATCTTTTCACTATACCTTAAAAGATAAACTGAGGCATATTAAAAATAAAAAAAAAAATGATTGGAGCAAAAATCAATTCAAGTCCAGCAGCGCTAAATGGAAATGTTTAAAAGCTTCCCACCAACAGGAGTTAGGGGCAAGACTTTTATAGTAAAGATACAGAAGCAAAACAAGAAAATTATTTGATTGGCTATAGCTTAAGCAGTTGCCCTATTTGAGAAATCCTAGTTGGCTGTTTGAGATTGATAGTCTTTAGGTTTTGATTTCTTAATTTGGACGCATTTACAGGCATAAGTTTTGGTTTGCTTATTACATAGGCTGCTAATGCCTTAGAACCAACCCAGTCTAATGGCCTCCTTGTTTAATTTAACAATACCGTGCTGTGTGAAAATTTGATATTTAGTTTGACTTAGTTCATTTCAAGGTTTTTTTACTGTCATGTTTCTTTAGAGCATGGATATCATCACCAACAAAAATAAATTAAGTTCTTTGAGTTGGAAAGTTGTAGAACTTAAATATATTAAGCGCTTAATATAATTCTGACTTGGACCAGATTTACAGATTTGTGGTGCTGGTGTGATGGTGGCAGTAAAAGTTAACAAGTGCAACACTTTTTTTAAAATTCAGAAAATTTACATAACTCACAAGTTGCCTTTGTTCAGTGTTGGAATCTAGCTATGTGGTGAGAAACTGCATAGACCAGTTTTTGTCTTGCTGTTAATCTGAACTATTTTGTAGCAACACAGACTTTAACTACAGCAAAATTATCATCACAAAATAAAGATTTTGGCCTTTTTTTGTATGCGAAAACCTCATTATAAACCCTTAATTTTGTATTAAGAGGTTGGTTATGTGGACATAAGGGGAAAAAATCGTTATATTCCAACAGTAATTTATCAAGGAAGTCTTTCTACAGTGAAAGGAGTACATTGTCACAAAAAATTAAAATATATGAAATTACAGAATCTAAAATTGAGATACATACAAATAAATCTTTGTAATGCTTAAAATGTATTTATTTAAATTGGGAAAAATTAGCTAACTGCAAAGCTGTAATTTATTTTTAAAATAATAAATGAAAATCATTTATTTTTAAATGAAAGGGAAATTAGTATATTCAAAATGCTATTACAAGTATGGTAAATTAGTTACAGAGCAGAAGTAGTTCGATATTTCTACTTCCCACCCAGACGACCCTATCAGAAGTTTAGAAAAACTTGACAGTCATAAGTAATGTGAAAAAGATATGGACTCCAAAGGAAAAGAATGCAGTTTTGTGTATCATTTTTGTATTTTTCTAAAAGTGCCCGTGTGTTTTCATTTAAAGTATTTGGACTAGTATAATATAATCCTAATGGAATAATAACCTATGATACCTAGAGTTAGGTTATCTATACAAATAAGGCTTCTCTAATGCATATGGAAAAGAAGCCTACCAACTTACTATAAAAAAATATAAGCTCGCTATATAAAAGTTATATAACTTGCATCTTTGATTCTATTGACATTTTTCCACAAATGTTTGAAGGTCAGAGTTTTTGTATTCCAGTGACATTACTTTAGAAGGTAAAAATGCTAAGGGTAAGGAACTGAAAGTTTTAACCTTTTTTAATCCTTTCATACTTTATGCCCTTGAGAATTCCTATTACAAGTAACATATTTCCTGTGTGTGAATTTGTGCAATGCCAAAGATGCTTATGATCACTTTATAAGGCATTGAAAATTTACCACAATTTGTAGTTAAATTATTTATTCACCATGAAAAACAAATGTTTTTATATAACACTATAACACTACAAATTCATAAGTAAAATGCCAACTAGCATTACTGCTTTTAGAATTTGACTTAAAAATGTTATACAGCTTTGAGTTACATTTTCTTTTTATTTACCTTAGACTGGAACTAAACACAGTCTAGTCTAAAATGTGCGTCAAAGGAACTTGAAATATTTTGAAACTTACATGATGAAAAAAGAAATGTTTAATTCTGCTAAATGAATAATTCTCTCCATTCAGTACACATACATTGAGCAGCTTTGTATCCAGTTCTGGGAGAATTAAATAAGACATTTCCTGTCCACAGTGAAGTTATAGACTATTTATAGTAAATTATGATGAGAACAGAATTCTGCGAAAAGTCCCTAGTTTAGGAGACCAACAAAAGTTTTCCTAGAGAAGGCTACATCTCAGCTGTCTGTTCATTAAAGAATATGTTTCTAATATTTTTAATTAAGCAGTTGGTGTTTTGTGGTGCAGAGAAGTGCTTTCCTTGAATGGATTACAAGTATGCTAGCATACTGAGTCCTTAGGACAACCAAATGGGGACTGGAGTGAGGAAGCCCCCAGTTATAAGCTGCTTCCTCCTTTTTATCCCTTTTATTCCATATATTTGTTACCATTTTCTACATGTGATGATATGAAGAATATTGGGAAGTAGTGGTGTAGAGAAATGCCATTTTTAAGTATACAATTCAGTGACATTAAGTACATTCACGCTGTGGTTCAGCATCATCATCCATCTTCAGAACTTTTTCATCCTCCAAACTGAAACTCCATACTCATTAAACAATTCTTCCCCAGTGCTTCCCTCCCCCAGCCCCTGGCAGCCACCATTCTACTTTCTGTCTCTGAATTTGACTACTATGAGTACCTCATAGAAGTGGAATTACTCATGTAGTAGTTATCCTTTTGTTACTGCCTTATTTCACGTAGCTTAATGTCTTCAAAATGTATCCATATTATAGCATGTGTCATAATTTCCTTATTAAGGCTGAATAATATTATATGTATATACCACATTTTGTTTATCTTTATACCTGTTGATAGATATTTGGGTTGACTTCACCTTTTGATTATTGTGAATAATAATTGGTATACAAATATTTGTTCACAATCGTGCTTTTAGTTCTTTTGAGTATATACCTAGAAGTAGAATTACTAGATTATATAATTCTATTTTTAATTTTTTTAAGGAACCACCATTTTATTTTTCATAGTGACTGTACCACTTTATATTCCCAACATTAGTTCACAAGGGCTCCAAATTCTCCACATCTTTGTCACCTCTTGTTTTTAATATATACAATAGCCATCCTAATAAGTGTGAAGTGGTATCTCATTTGATCTGGATTTCCCTAATAATTAGAGTGATATTGAGCATCTTTTCATGAGTTCATTGGTAATGTAGTCTGATATTTTTAAAGATTGGGCATGGGAACTTATCTAACAAAAATTAACCAAATCTTATTCAAAAGCAACTTATTTTATAGAATTAGGTCAACCTAATCTTAAACTTTTACTGCTGAAAAGAATTTTAGAGATCATCAGAGTTCTTAATCTGAAATCCATCTGTGGTTCCAGAGAGTCCACGAATAGCCTAATTAAAGCAGAATTTCCATCAAATTCTCAAAAGTATCTTACACCATTAAAAACTTAAGAACTATTGATAACACCCCAAAATCACCAGAACGTTAAAAAGTCATCATCTTTTGGGTTGGTGGAATTAAGGTGATTTTAAAATTTCTACTTTGTGCTTTTCTATATTTTCCAAAGTATCTAAAATAATCCTGCATGGTGCATGTGATTGTTAGGCTATTTTAGAACTTGAAAAGTAAAATCCATCTTTAGCTCTTGGGCCTGCAATTAAAAAAACAAGTCTAAAAGCTAAGAAGGAATAAAATGGATATAGTGTATTCTTATCATTGCCTGCCTTTTCTTAGAGTCACAGCATTCCCAAGTCTGCAAAAAGAATGGGCAGGCCTTCCACTTCCGGTTTGGCACCACCCAATTCAAACCAATTTCTGCTCAGATAAATTCCTAAAATTAGGAAAGAAAGGAAGGAAGGGAGGGAGAGGAGGAAAGGAAGGAAGAGAAAGAAGGAGGGAGGGAGGGAAGAAAGGCAGGCTCTACAGCTACAAAAACAAAAACAAAAAAAAACGATGTTTACCATTGACTCTATTTCAACTGAATTAACTGCAATAAAATATTTATGTTTGAATTTTTTTTATAATGAGCTCTTACTATAAAGAGAATATGCAGGTTATATAACTAGAAAAGCAATATTTACCATTGAATTCATTTCACCTGGGATTCATTAAGGCAGAATATTTACATTTAAGTTTTTTATAATGAGATTTTACTGGTTTTCCTATAATATCTTTACATAGTACATACTATAATTACTTTTTTAAAGGTATTAGGTTTCTGTTTTTAATTTTAAAACAATGATCACTTAATTTTAAAAACACCTGTGTTCAATTTAGCATCCTAAAAAACTGTAGAAAATCTTTAGGATTATGTGCAGAACTTTCTAGGACATCTTACCTATTCATATTCAATTCATATTCATTGTCAGGTCCTCATATTTTCTATCATTTTGGCTAGGTTTAAAAATACTCCCAAGTAGGGCTTAAACTCCTCTACCATTTAATATCCTTGGGCCTTTGTTTCCTTTTCTGTTGGACTAGAACTAGATAGTCCTATCCAACTCTGACATTTGTTTGATCTATATATCTGCTTAACTATAATGTTTATGCTGTGGAACTTTATATTTATAACTACATTTTTAAATTTATACCAGTTTTTTAAATTTCTGTTTTTCCTTTTGCAGCTATATGCAGGAGCTATTCTCGAAGTCTGTGGATGAAAATTGGGGAGGTTCCCTCAAGTCCAAGGTATATAAAATTAGCTAGTAAATTCTCATTTTGATAATTTAAAATCAGCATTTCACAAGAATAATTTTGTTAAATATTCCCACAAATAAGAATTTTTAGAGTTATACTTTCTCAGTAGCATATGAATTTTCATGGAGGTGGAGTTTTATAGTAATTGTTGAATACTAGATTACTTTAAACAAGCATAATGTATAAAATTTATGTTTAAATACAACACATGATGAGGCAGTATTTTCTTTAAAGGGGAGCCTTTTTTACCAAGTAAAAATTTTATGAGAACCTTCTTTTACCAGATGTAAATGTAATCTCCTTAAATAGCATTTCATTCTAGTATATTTTAAATGTAAATTGACTCTCATAAAATGCCTAAGGAATAATTAAGTGAGACTAGACTTGTACTAAATTACAAATCATCAAAAATAGAATAAATACCATAGAACTTGAGGTGTAGAAGAGAGGAAGTCATACATGTATATCTTCACAGGAAATTTTAAGGATAAATATGTGATAGGATAATTGTGAAAGTGTATTCTTTTGGTTGAAATCAAACAGTAATAGAGCTTTGTAGCTCCAAAAACACTCGGTCTAAGGTTTTTTTTTATTCTGTCCTTGCTTGTCACTTGAAAATCAGTTTTATGAAACTGAACTTGTCTGGAGCTGTCAACCAATGGTTGTTGGCGCCAACAGGAATCCCCAATTTAGGGTGCCGTGAAGAAGGAAACTCTTTTTTCAGTGCAAACAATTCAATATGATACAACATAGCTGTGGAACATCTTAATAGAGTTACAGTTCATTTAAGAAAAAAACATTACTATGGAACAGCATGCCTATGAGGTGGCCCTCTTCCGTTAGTTCTGTTCTGCTCCACCTGCTCTTCTCCGCTTCATTCCAGAAAGATGTCTTTAATGTCTCAACTCCAGCTGGGGAAATGCAGTTTTCAGTCTTCGATGGAAAGGGAAAGTGTGCTCTCTGAGCCAGAGAGTTTCTGACTTATACAGAAAGAAGTCCCCGCCTGGTTCCTGATTGCTCCTTTCTCATACAAATGAGGACTCCAAATCTTTGTTTGCAGTTTCATCTGTCCAAAGGACATGGTCCTGGCTGGTCAGAATAGAGCCACTCTGATTGGTCAGTGAAGATGCCGATGGGGATATAGCTGCAGAGTTGACTGGACTGGGAAAGTCTCAGTCCAATTGGTCAAGATAGGATTCCAGGAACTCCTTAATAATAAGGGTTGGCTCAGTTAGCAGGAACACAGTTCAGTGCAGGAGGCAAGGCACCTTCATGGAGGCTTCTCCCTGAAGCACAGTTTGCATGAGAGGCTTATTAATGGTTGCTAGGATCTCTTTTTAAATTTGACCCAGTCAACCACCAGGATCCCTTCTTGTTAGGTCTAGCTTCTTTGTTAGGGTCAACAAAGGTAATGAAATTCTTTTTTTTACCTCACTCCCTTTTTTTCACTGAAATACATAAGTGATCTATTTATATGCCTTATTCTGTTTTTGTTTGCTGGCTTTCCAATGATTTCTTGCCTTGTTTACTTAATACCAAGAGAATTATTTGGATTTAGATTTTATAAAATTGTCTATATTAGCACCTGCCTATTGCTGACTTAGAATTGTTTATAAGAAAATATTGCTCATTTTGGCACAGAAATAAAATAGAGTAATTTTGGGGACATTTTATATGAAGCCCAAACAGATACACTTGTAATTAAATACATTCTTTGTTAGAATAAGAATTCTTATGTAGCACAGAATATAACATCTACTTATGCTTAGGGAAAACAATTCCTTACTCTGTATATTTTTCCTCACTTAAATTCAGAATTGTACCATAGTTGTTTTTATGTAAGTTCTCCAAATGATATTTTGATCACTCTTATTTTCAGAAAGTTTCACAATTGCTTTTTAATTTTATTGATTATTCATATTTACTGACTAGTTTTATTAATAATCTTTTGTGACTTCATTTTTCATGAGGTCAAGAGTAGCTTTGATATAGCAGTTAGCCCTTCTGTTTGTGATACTGGATTTTACAATGTCTGTGGTAATAATTTCTACAGCTTGAAGTTTAGTTTTTAAAAGCTTATCAATCTTCATAATAGAACTTACTTTTTTAAAAAACATAAAATGAGCTGATTTTATTATCGAGTGTGGCATATGGTTACAAAGCTTTAGTGGGTTTTCATTTCTTTTAATTTTTATTTTCCAATTTTCAATACTAGACATTCAGTATTATTTATATTAGTTTCAGGTGTATAGCGTAGTGGTTAGACATTTATATAATTTACGAAGCGATCCCCCCAATTAGTCTAGTACCCACCTGGCACTACAGAACTTAATTACATGTATTTCTTATGTCTAGTTAAATTATCAAACCTTTGGGTACATGTAGTCATACTGTCTTTTACTTTTGAAAACAATTGTATTTTAATTTTACATATAAATATTTAATTAGTACAAACTTATTTAAAATGAAAATGATTACTTAATATAATGCATAGCCATATTTAATGTAATTATATATAATACCAATATTTTTCAAGCCCATGAGGAGGTGGGGTTTTTTTCCACATAAAAGCAAAATTTATTTTTATTATTATCTACCATGCTTGAAATGTTTTATGCCTTCTGAATAGCGCCTCCCAAAAAATCTGAATTTTGGGGTTTCAGGCCAGTAATTAACTAGCTCACTCTTTATAGAAATATATCTATTAAGTAAAATCTGAAGTTTACAGGACTTGAGCAAAATATATCATTTAGTTTGTACAAACATACTGTCTATAGACATTTATGTCTGCAGATTAGTTGTACAGCTATAACTAGTCAATTTAACAAAGCTTGAGCCCTAAGCTATAAATAACAGCTGCAAAACTGACTAGTGGCCCAGAGTTCAGAAGCTGGTTTATTTTTAATATAACCATTATATATTCCTACTTTCAGACACACTCTCTTAAAAGATATTCTGCAATAGGAAGGACATGAGGAGAATCGCCACTTTTTACAATAATTACAAATACCAAACTAATTTTTATGTCATCATTTGTTCCATATTCTTTGTCATCAACATCTGGTAATTTCTGGGATCAGCATGATAACTTTCATTATACTTTAGCTTACAATACATTGTAATTTTTTTAAATTCAGTTACTTTAAATTAGCCATGTCTTTAAAAAGAAGAGTAAATTAGTGTTAAGATTTTCCAGAAGAGAGAGGGATTTAAATTTTGAAATGTTTTATCCACATTGAACAATTCATTGTATGTTGAAAAAAGTACCAGATCCTACTTCTTAGTCAATTCCAAGTATGCCTCCTAAATACTTTTGTTTGCCATATTTTGGTTGTTTAAAGACAATCAATATGTATAATGTATCCTAATAGATTGGACCTAGTGTTCTATCACTTGTGGTAACATCAAAACTAATAATATAAAATTAATAAGTATGTTTTTCATTCAAAATATAGTTCAAGCATTATTTTCAGGCAGTCTTCGGATAGTTTTTTACTCTCTATGTTCCACAGCAATTCCCACATAATATCGTAATATATTTATTGGCTTATTAGTCTTTTGCCTCTACCAAACTAGGAACTCCTTAAAGCCCAGAATTAAAAAAAAAAAAAAAAAAAATCAATATACATAAAATCTGCCTAACACTGTACCTTTTATTAAGAGAAATTTAAATATTGAGTGAATAAATAGGTTTACAAAAATTTGTGCTATTAAAGGATGCCCCACCTTTGACAAATGGGAATCTGGTGAAAGCCTGTGTTTACATTGGTTATATACCCTTGATGAATTCAGTCCTCAAGCATTCCTTTTCTGACTTTATTATTCTGACTGAGAAGTCATAATCTTTTTAGTTTGTCTTGTCTACATTATTGTACCTCCAATCTCCCCCAGATTCCTTAGTTATTTAAGTTGCCTATCTCTGAATGTTTTTAAGTGATTTTAAATTGTCTTGTTGGGAGGACCCAAGTGACTCATTATTTTGCATTCCAGATGGTTCGTATACAATAGTAAATTTACTTATTTTAGAAATACTTTTTTAGATACCCAGTAACTTTCATTGAGCACAGTTGTGAATTCAATTCTATTGTTGTTTGTTGTTGTTGCTGTTCTCTTTGTATTGTTTCCGTGTGTGATGTGACATTTTTACTTAGAATATGTTCTGATTAAATATACTTATTTTTAATCAATAGGAAAACATCTAATTATCATTACATGTACTTTCATGTGACAGTTCACAAGTCTTAATCATACCTACAATAAGCCCTTATAGTCAAATTAAATCTTAAATAAGAGTACATTGTATGACTACTTATAATGTGATCAAAGGTTTATTATTAGATCTAGCCGTTTATTTTGTTTATTTTAATACTCTTTATAGTTAACCCTGAAGAGTCTCTGAATTATGAGAGTCGCATTTCTTTTCAAGCAGTGCGTATGTAAAAACTTAATTCCTATCCTCAGGGGCTACTTAAATGACATGCTTATAAGAATCCCAAGGGAAAAGCTGAAACATTTAATCTGTTTTCTAATCATTTCTATATATTTTATCACTTTCAAGTGTTGATAAAACTGCCTTTCTAACTGACAAATAAATTAGCATAAGAACATTTTCTAGAAATAGAGTGACTTCAAACTGATATTTCGCTATTTTTAAAACAGCATAGAGTAAACTAGAAAATAAGTTGTTATGAGGTCTTTTTGCAAGTCTGTTATATTCTCATATAACCTATCCTAGTGCCATGTGTATATAATAAGTACTCAAATATTTGTTAAATGATTAATTTCTGACTATAAAATGTGATTTTCTACTACAAGGTATTTAACAGATATTTCCCTCATTCAAAATTAAGAGGCTTATGAATCTATGATTAGCAGAGAACAGAGCAAAGACTGATAAAAATAGTCATTGGTGACTCACCGTAATATTCCTTTTAAATTTGTTCACCATGCCAGCCTGTTAAAAATCTGTTGGGTGAATGAAAGTTATTAAATGTGTGAGGCTCTGTTATGGATACAAAAAATATTTAAGAATAATCCTTTTCTCCTGAGAGGTTCCTTATGTAGTAGGTTCCATATTGTGTGTTAAATGGTGTTTTGGACAGGTGTGCATATAGTACTTGCCAAAAGGATGGTAAAAATGCAACAGCATAAGATCATTTTTTATTTATTAGTTGTTAACTGTTTTATTTGTTAATTATTTTTTATTTGTTAAGAAATTTTATTTGTTAATTGTTAACTATTCCTTAGCCCAAATATTCATTTTTCATAGTTCAGGAACACAGGTCAGTGACAAACTTCCATGAAAGGCAACTCAAAGAAATTCTTTACCTTCTGAAATCACTTTGCACTCTGAAAGATACCAGCCTTCCTCATCTCTTCAGAATCTTTCATGGATTCATAATTTATGTGGAAATTTGCATATGCTTTCTTCCTTCGTTCAGCCACAGTAAACTTAACAGAAAGCTGCAACCCTCAAGGATACAGTGATTGCTCCAACAATGTAAAATCGCAGATACTTGGCCAGAAAGCCATGCATCTGAGATTTCATCAAAGCACTGAAAGGCATGGTAGTTATATTCTCCCTTAATACCAACATCCTTCCTAATGGAGAAATGGACCCATAAAATCATTTTTTTGGGGGAAATCAGGAGTCTGCAGGGTATTTGGACAAATCCTAAAGGATAAAGTTAAAAGATAATAAGCAAGAATAACATAGTTATTTTTATTTTGAACTAAATGTTGTAGGAGAAGTTTAGATGAGATATATAACTCTCTTCCAACAAGTCCTCATATTTGTAGAGCATTTTTTTAAGGTCATGCTTAGAAAGGAATTTTATATTCCATATTCAAGTTGTCTGTGTTAAATGGTATAGTAGTATTCTGAACCTCTCTTTTTTTTTTTAACACTTTTTAACTGAAATTATTAGTTGTGTGATTACTTGTTTAGCATCTTTCTTCCTCATCAGACTATAAACTCCTTAAGAACAGAAATTGTCTTTTATGTAGCTTTCTCTCTGTTGTCCAACATATAGAAGGCATTCAATAAATATTTGTTGAATGAATTTAAATGATAATTCATCTGCAGTTTATTTAGATATAAGGTATAATGTAGGCACTTGACTATTTTTCTATTTTTTTCCCCAAATAGTTTGGCAGTTTTCTCAAAAGTACATATTAAATAATTCACACACACACCCCAGATGCACATATAATCAGTCTCTCCCTCCTAGCCTCCCTCTCTCTGATTTGATAGCTTTACCATATTAAATTTATACAGATATTTGTATCTTTCTATATTTAATAATCTGTTTATTTTATCTATTCTGGTATCAGTATCATATTTTAAAAAGCAAGTAAACGAATTCTCCCATATTTTTTCTAAACTGTGACTGTCCTTATACATTTTTAGCTGAGCTTTACTGTCATTTTGTCAAGCCCTCAAAATCCCATTGAAATTTGAAATTTAGATTAAATTTAAGCAATTAACATCTTAAAATATTTCACTGTCCTATTGAATAGTATGATATTTCTTTCCATTTAGATATATCTGTTTGAATCTCCTTAGTTTTCCATATAGGATGAAATGTTTTATTTACTGAGTTTATTTCTACTATTATCTAGCATGGATTTGGAAGTAAACAATTTGAATCTTTTTCTTTTCTCTACAGCTTTCGTCAGGAGTGATAAACCCAAACTATTCAGAGGACTACAAATCAAGGTAAAGTTATTTTAATAGAATCCTTCTTTTCCAGTATTAATTTATTTCATTTTTGAAGATTGATCTCTTTAAAAATGGGATCATGTTTGTTGTCACATTTACCTAGAGTTAGTATTTCTCAGAGCTCTTTGGTAAAATATTGGACCCAACTATCGGAAGTTTTAGGAATTCAGTCTAATTATAAACTAATTACAACAAAATCATTAGATTTCTTAAGCCAAAGAAAATTTAAAGTCCAATGCAAAATTATATCTAATAATTTGTATGCATATGCTGTTTTACCATTGCTTTGATATATTCTTTCTTGTTAATTATTTTGAACTCGACTGCTTCCTTCATTAGATTCTAAACGCATTTGAGAGTTTGAGAATATCATGTATGCAATAATTATTTCTTACAGTCAATAATAAACTTAAATCCTAAATAAACTGTGTTGATACCAACAAGTCTTTTTCTCTTTAGAGGTAAAACGTAATTTTTTTAAACTGTCATTTTTAATGAAATCCTATTCTTTTCCAAAAGACTTCTTGTAAGACCTATTGTACTGTTACATCTAAAAGCTTTTTCGTATTACCGTTAAATTTAGTTAACCTGGATTGCATTGGTTTGGATCTTGGTTGAGACTGAGAAGGCTCTTCTAAGCAGATAATAATGATGATGTCCCTCTTTTTTGTAGTATGTTCGTGGTTCAGACCCTGTACTAAAGCTTTTGGATGACAATGGGAACATTGCTGAAGAACTAAGCATCCTCAAATGGAACACAGACAGTGTAGAAGAATTCCTAAATGAAAAGTTGGAACGCATGTAAATTTGATTACATTGTGTCCTATCCTTTTGTTACCTTATCAAATGAAATATTACAGCACCTAGAAAATAATTTAGTTTTGTTTCTGTCTTTTGATCCGTCTTACTGTGAGGCATTAAACAACTAATTAAAAGTTGAAGTGGCAGCACAGCCCATGAAATCTAAAGAGTTGGCAAGCTTAACAAAACTCATTTTTTATCAATTTCCATCCTACATTTGTTGATACCACTAGCAAAATGCTTTGCAATAGACTTGTGGTTAATTATGCAAATGATAGTTTGTGATAATTGGTCCAGTTTTACGAACAACAGATTTTTAAATTAGGGAGGTTAATAAGGGAGATGATTGCTACTATGCCTCATGTGCTCTGTGCTCTTTGAAAGTAATGATAGAAAACTACAAAGCAAATAAGATATACTGAGCCTCAACAGATTGCTTGATCCTCAGATTCGCTCATATTTTTGTATTAACCCAGCTTTCCTTTTAATAGAAACGCTATAGTTTATAATGAATGCACTGCATAAAAACTTTATGGCTTCACTATTGTGAAACAAATTCAGGATCTACAGTAAGATGAAACATTCACAAAGATTAGCATTAATGAAGACTACACAGAAAAACTTTTTGAGGATTTGTGTGGATCTGATATTTAGCAAATTTTTGTGCTTGAAATTCTTACAGAAAAGTATTTTAAAATGATCACTTGTAAGACCAAAATATAAATAAAAAGTTTCAAAAAAATCTCTCTGCATTTGAAATTCTTCTGATTTGTCCTTTCGTGCTTAAAAATGATACATTTTTCAATACATTTTTATTTTCTTTTTTATAAGCCTTTATATATTTTAGACAAAATGTTAAAATGGCTATACTGTTTAAAACTTATAATTTCTTTAAAATTTATAATTTCTGTGGGTAATAGTGCTTTATATTTGTCTAGCAATTTTTTATTTTTCAAAGTGCTTTCATTTATGAACATATTTTTATTTTGATATCTTACATAAGGAATATCTCAAAATATAGAATTTGTATGAACTATTAAAAATGTTGATTTCACTTTGCTTAACCTATCTGGTTAAAGTGACTTCGCTTCTTCATAAAAGGTAGTTCACTAGGAACAGCATTCATCCAAATGACTTTAGTTCATTTACACTGCTTACTAACTTAACAAATTGGTCAAAAATCCTGTTATGTCAACTAATCTCAGATAAATTCTTATAATCTAGAAACTTGAATTCTTTTTGTTTTCTCCCTCTTTAATTCCGCCACCCCACCCCACCCCGCCCCCCCCCTTCCACCTCTGAGCTATGGATGTTGCTATTTCCCCCAAATGGATTTCTGAAGGCAGGGCGTCTCCTCCCACACGCTCGTAGCATGCACCCGGGATCTGGCGCACCCAGGGCCAGGCACACCCAGAGCCTGGAGCACCCGGGGTATGGTCCATGACTCCACCTGGGGCGTGAACCCAGGACCTTCTGCATGTAAAGCAGACATGTTAACCACTACACTATGGAGCCACCCCCTAGAAACATTAATTCTTTATTTTGAATTAAACTATCTTAATAAAGTATATTTGGAAATCTTTAAAGACTACCAGAAAGTGCTTATAAAAATTCTTATTTTTAATAAAGATCAGGTATTAATCTTTACTAGTATTTTGTATCATGTTATATTTAAAATTAAGAAATATATTTTTAAACCACCAAGAGAATGAATAAACTCTGGATGATTCGGTTAATTAAAATACCAGGAGAAGTCCTGGCAAACAGTTTATGTTCTACATTTGATCATCTAGAGTAATGGAGAAGGCCATCATTTTGATAGTACAAGGCCCTGGATAAATTGGCATTAATCCCTAATGGTGGTTATTAATTCAGAACAAGAGGAAGTGAAGCCAGTCATGGAAAGTGGAAAAACAGCAAGAGAGGAGTTGCCGCCATATGCAGAATAGTTCGACAGAAGGGTTAAAACTGCAAAACTTCTGGGATTGACGTAGAAACTAATTGGACTGTTCTTTAGGCATGAAGAGCCAGTTAAATGAGTATGTGGCATTGGGATTTTAAAAAGTGAAAACCTAAAATGTCTATTATATTCAATATATTAGGAGAGATCAAAAGAGGCCAAAGAACCGTACAGTATTTTATCACTTGAAATTTTTGAGTTGATGAATAAACGTATCTACCAAGCTTCACTATTTTAATCGGGAGGTTCCAGTGAATTAGCCAATTTCAGCTTTTTCACCAATTCCAATCAAAGAACCGCTAAAAGCTTTTTAAAGAAACATCTTGATTACCAAGAAATGGGTGTAAATACTGACCCAAAATACCATTTTGTAGCCAAATTCTGACATTTGATTAAGCTTATTCACAAATGTGGATATGTGTCATAATCACTTGATATTTATAAACTTGCTCCCCCTGCCAAAATGGTGTTACTTATAACCTAAAACAGTTAATTTATCTCTAAATTCCCAAATTTGGCAAAAGCCTCCTACAAGAAGCTATGAGCAAGAACTGACATTTCCTGTTTTAAAAGAATTTGAGGCTTAAAAGCTACTCTAAAATTAAAATTAATAAAATGCAGAAAATAGTTTTGAAAGCAAATACTGCAAGACTTTGGAAATTAAAATTGGCAGTAGCTAGTATGTGAAAGCGTGTCTACAAATACATGGGAAGTAGGAGTACAGATTCCAGATAGGAGCACCATTAGGTAAGTATTTCTTTTACTTGAAAATTAAAAGTGGTTTTAAATTACATTCTGTAGTCACAGAGGACTTTTTCTGGGAGGAGAGGGCCTGCATTTGTGCTCAAAAATTCAAAACAGACTTGATGATTAAATATAAACATTTTACCTTCGAGTGGCCTTTGGCCCAGGAATCAGTACCGTGAAATACGGTTATTTAGAAATACTGAGGGAATAAAACTAAATTGTGTGAAGCCTCTAAAACTAGTTCCTTCATGTTAACCACTCTTGAAACATACTTTATAAGCACAGCATTTTATCATTTGACATTATGGAGACACTGAAGTTTAGACCTTAATGTTCAAAACTTTTTTAAAAACCATTTTGGTAGAAAAACTAAACTACAGCTGATCTTTATTGGCGAATTCTATATTTACATATTCACCTACTCATTAAAACTTAATTGTAACCCCACAATCAACACCTGAGACACTTCTGATGTCATTAGCGGATGGGATGTGCACAGAGCCATGAAAAATTTGATTCACCCAATGCATACATTCCCAGCCAAGTTCAAACAAGGTGACACTGCCTTGTTTCTGCTCACATGCTACAAACCAGTATCTTTTTCAGTCTAGTGCCACATTTTTGGCATTTTTGTGCTTTTGTTGGTAATTTAGCTGTTTAAAATGACTCCTGAGCTGGTGGTCCTTACATGCAAGAAGGTTGTGATGTGCCTTCTGGAAAAAATAGAGGTTTTAGATAAATTTTGTTCAGGTATGAGTTACAGTGCTATTGGGCATGAGTTTGATATTAATAAATCAATAATATATATCAAATGAGGTACCTTCAAGAAGGAATACAGAAAACATGGGTGTGTACGGATAGATTGACAACATCGTTGGGACCAGAGACTTCCAGGAAGCTAACCTTGTACTCCTAAGAGCAATGGTTCAGTGTTTGCTAATTCAGGGTTGCAGCGACTTTACAGAACATAATTAACTACCAAGAGTACTGAGATTTGACTGTAACTTTTTTTTTTAACATTTTTTTAAAATTAAGTTTATTGGGGTAACATCGGTTAATACAATTATATAATTTTCAGCAGTTCATTATAATTTGACATCTGTATATTTTCTTTTTTTGACATCTGTATATTCTATTGTGTGTCTACCACTCAAAGTCCAGTTTCCTTCAGCTATCATATACTTGATCCCTTTATCCTCTACCCCCTATATTTGACCCCCTTTACCCTATCTACCTACCTACCCCCTCCTCCCCGACTCCCTACCTCTGGTAACCACCAGTCTATAGTTCATGTCCATGAGTCCCTGTTTGTTCATTTGTTGCTTTTAGGTTTATATCCCACATATAAGTGATATCATGTGATTTCCAACTTTTTCTGTCTGGCTTATTTCACTTAGCGTGATTATCTCGAGGTCCATCCATGTTGTTGCAAATGGCAGTATTTCATCTCTTCTTATGGCTGAGTAATATTCCATTGTATATATGTACCACAGCTGCTTTAGCAATCTAAACACCATATCTTTAAAAATAAACGTTTTCAAAATTTTCAGGTAAATACCCAGGAGTGAGATTATTGGGTCATATGGTAACTCAATTCTTAGTTTCTTGAGGAATCTCCATACTGTTTTCCGTGGTGGCTGTACCAACTGCAGTCCCACCAGCAGTGTATGAGGGTTCCTATTTCTCCACATCCTCTTCAACATTTGTTATTGCTTGTCCTGTTGATTATAGCCATTCTAACAGGTGTGAGATGGTATCTCATTGTGGTTTTGATTTGCATTTCCCTAATAGCTAGCGATGTCGAGCATCTTTTCATATATTTGTTGGCCATTTGTATGTCCTCTAAGGAGAAGTGTCTGCTCAGGTCTTCTGCCCATTTTTTGATTGGATCATTTGCTTTTTTGTTGTTAATGAGTTGTGTGAGTTCTTTGTATATTTTGGAAATTAGGCCCTTATCGAAGGCGTTGCTTGCAAGTATATTTTCTTATTCAGATGGTTGTATCTACCTTGTTGACAATTTCTTTTGCTTAGCTGAAGCTTTTTAGTTTGATGTAGTCCCATTCATTTATTTTTGCTTTTACTTCCCTTGCTGTTAAGGTCAAATTCATAAAATCCTCTTTAAGTCCAAGGTCCTTGAGTTTAGTTCCTATGTTTTCTTCTATGCATTTTATTGTTTCAGGTCTTATATTCAGGTCCTTATTCAA